CCTTTGCATTTATGGCTGCCTCCTCCTTTTCCACACACACACAATCTGATTTTGAAGATGTTGTCTTGCCACCACTGGTTGAGGTACCCTTTGCAGCAGCTTTTAATAGTCCTGAAATAGAAAGAGAAAACTGCATTTCTGGTGTACACGCAAGGAATGAAAGAAGGAAGAAAGTTATCGATGCGATACTACAAAAATACAAGGACGGCAAACTTCAGCACGGTTGTATCAAGTCAGTAGCTAATGACTTCAAGATTTCAGATCGTTCGGTTAGAGACCTATGGAGAATTGCTAAAGCTCAACTGGACACAGCCTTGCTATTGATGTTTCCTGTAGGTGGCAAGGAAATACAGGGAAAAAATCTCTGACTAAGGACTTTTCCAAGCTTAGCCAGCTTCCTTTTCACCAACGCCAGACCCTACGTGCAGTAAGTCATTGCTTGAATGTGTCTACTACAACAGCACACAGGTGGCTGAAGGAGAAAAAGATAAAAAGACATTCTAATGCCATAAAGCCATTTCTGTGTGAAAAAGGTAAGTTGAAAAGACTAAAGTATTGTTTGTCTTTTATATGTCCCACATCACTTCCAAACCCCACATTTCATGACTGTTATGATTACATCGATGAAAAGTGGTTTAATTTGAGCAAGCCCAAAGCAACATTCTACACACTGCCTGGTGAAGATGACCCATACAGAACCACCCCGTCTAAAACACACATTCCCAAAATAATGTTTCTGGCAGCTGTGGGTAGGCCAAGGTTTGGGGTGGATGGTGAAGTGATATGGGATGGAAAAATTGGCATTTTTCCATTCACTTTTGAAGAGGCTGCTAAAAGGGCTAGCAAAAACAGGCCAGCTGGTACCATGGAAATCAAAGCAGTACCAAAAATAACAAGGGATGTAATGAGATCCATGATGATTCAACAGTTGCTGCCAGCAATAAGGGCCAAGTGGCCAGGGACAAGCAAGCAAGTTATCATACAACAGGATAATGCTAAACCACATATAGATATTAATGATCCTGAATTTGTGAGTGCTTCAAAGGAAGGTGTGTAACGCCCCAAAATATACCCTAAAATTTATTGAATTAAATATTCAATTAAACAAAATTTGTTTTGATTAAAATAAATTGTTGTTGGGATTTGGGCTTGAATAAAATATATATTGATATCCAATAAACATAATTGGGATAAATCTTATAGAGATAAATCCAACATGTTGATTTATTGTGTGATCTTGATTGGGAACCTGAGTACAGACCCAAATTAAGAATAAATG